TGCGTGAAACCCCATTTGTCCCCACAGTGTCAGTGCATTGGGCGCCCTGCGCCAGGATGAATTGCCCTCTGGGTGGGTATGACACGGGCTTCACTGGGCTTTCTCCATATATTTCACAACTGCTCTGAGTTTATAATTTTTTCAAGTCCTTCATCAACCATGTGTCACAAATACCAATGCGATCAGGACCATTTATCACCAAGCTGGGTTCTTACTTGAGCACTGAAAAAAATTATTTGGCTGTACAACCTTTCTTGGGGCTCTGATTTAATGGACTTCTCTGCTGCAAAGCCCCTGAATTCTTTGCCTTTTAATATTTGACATCTCTTCCTCTTTATTACCACCTCAGACAGCCCTTCTAGTCCAGCTGGAACAAGCCCATTAGTCTCTGACAAATAACTCGTGTCGTTTGGTGAAAAATATGCAGAAGTTTGGCTGCAACTTCAGCTCCAGTCTTGGTTCTGTCTGTGGCCTCAGTCTCCTGTAAACAAGGCACCCAGCCCCCAGCAGACCGTGTTCCCTCTTCTGGCACTTGCTGCTGGGTCCACAGGGCCATTTGACACTAATCGCGTCAAGTGGGGTTTAAGATGGGTAGTTGGAGAAGCCCACAACAGAGCATGTGTTAACCTCGTAGCAGCATTGTCACGCTCACCACAGGGGAAGCCAGCCCGGCGTCCATCAAATGGATAGACCACGTAGCGTTGGCCAGCCTGGAGAGGGAAAGAAGCTCTGACAAATTCTACGATGCGCATGAACCATGAGGATATTAGGCTGAGTGAAACAAGCCAGACAAGGACAAATACTGTCTGATTGCACTTACATGAAGTACTATTCTTAGCATAGTCAAAGTCCTGGCAACCGAAAGCAGAATGGTGTTTACCAGGGGCTGGCCGGAGGGGGGGGATAGGGATTTGTTTAATGGATACAGAGCTTCAGTTTGGAAACATGAAAGAGTTCTAGAGATGGTTTGCAGAACAGTGAATGCACTTAATGCTGCTTAAAAATGGTTATGATGGCTCATTGTATCCAATGGAGGAAAAAAAAAAAGAATTAGTCTCAAACTGAACTAGCAAAGGAGAAACTGACAAAGGAAAAGTTCTCTGAGCACTTAATTCGTTTACAGGTCAGGCCTGTGGAGTGATTGCCTCTTGTCACCTAACAGTTGTAAGAACTCTGTGGCTTCAAATAACACTCACTTATTTCTATTATGAGTCTGGTTTGACGATTGGGGATGAGCTTGGCTGATCTGGGTAAAGCGTGGCTAATATGGCTTGGGCCTGGCTGTCTAAATGGTTCACCTGGGGACAGAAGGTGGCACAGTGGTCATGCAAATGAACTCACATGGGAAAACCCCTGGTTCATGTCCCAGGGCCTCCATGAACACAAAGAGCACATACATGCCCAAGATCGGGCTGGCTTAGTCTAGGGGGTGTTGATTGTGACATGAAGGCCCCGCTAAGGTTCCCTCTCTGTCTTTCTCACATAGAAAAGATAAATGAACTTTAGAGAAAAGACAACAATTGGAAATAAATAGATAAAATGGCTCATCTGGGATATCTCATCTCTGCTCCACATGGTCTCTCACCCTCCAACAGACTAGCCCAGGCTCATTCCCATCATGGCGGTAGCAGGGCTCCCAGGAGAGTGACCAAAGCTCTAGAGGCCATGGCTCACTCTCACATGCAGCTGTTTCTACCACGTTCTGTGGTCCAAAGCAACTCACAAGGCTGCCAAGATTGCAAAGGCAAGGAAATGACTTCCATCCCTCAATGAGAGAAGGCGCAGTGTACCACAGGAGCTCTAGAATGCCTAGGCACAGCCCGCCCCGCCCCGCCTCCCCGCGCAGCCGCAGTAAGCACGCGGCAACCGATCGATACTTTGAATGCACCTGGGGCGTGCTGTGAAAGGGAATCCCCTGGTGAGCACTTGCACCAATTGAAAAATACTTGTGCAAGTGAATAATCCTCCCCAACTGTTAGATTTCCACGAAGCCAGCGCGGCAGAGAGCAGAAAGCGCCTGCACTTAGGACGCCACCCTGCGTCTCCTGCCACCTTCCAGGTCTGGCCCCGGAGTTCCCGAAGCCGCGGGCACAGGGGCTGGGGCTATGCACAGGGTCGGGGCTGGGACCCGACTGGAAAGGCACGTCTGCAAACACAGAGGGCTCTGGGTCGCGAAGGAGGTAGCGTTTTGGTCTGTGGCTTCTTCTCCACCTCCCGGCTACCCCCACCTCCCACTTCCCCTACCTCCACTTCCCCACCTCCCCTCAAACCCACCCCCGTTTGACTCAGCAGACTGGTGGGGCCACGTTTGTCACTCACTGCATGATGACCAGGGCCCTCACAGCAGGTGTCCCCAGCCCTGTGTGTTTGAGGGGATGGAGACTGGAAAACTGGACCAACAGCCATTAGCGGCAAGGCTGGAATGAGGGGCGGGCTCCAGGTCTGGCTGTGGCAGCTCAGCCCGGAATCCCTTTTCCCCTCAGAAGGTGACGCCATCTACCTGGTAGAGGGTGGGGAATTAGTCCGGCTGGTGGCTCTTTTCAGAGCTGCCCTGTGGGAGCACAGCCGTTTAGCTGTGACCAGCTGACCCCACAGGCTATCCTGGGGCTGGCTCCTGTGCCCCTGTCCCTGGCTTCTGTCCCCACCCACTGCTCCTCCCCTCCAGCTCCCACATCCCCTCCCCTGCACTTCCTGGAAGTCCCACCGTCATCACTCCCAGGCCTGGGTCCTCAAAGCTCCCCCTCCGCGCCCTTCCCCCCTTGCTGGGTGCCATCGTGTGGCCTAAACACTTGTTTTGCGGTCACACTGTGGTTTGGGCTTCGTCATATCCCACTGGGACTGTGGGAGGTCATCGCCATAACCGGTGACTCGAGTCTCCCACTGGTTGTGCCAGGCACGAGGCGACTGCTTCCTGGGCTCTGTCCCTGAACCTTCAGTAGACCGTTAGGCGGTTCCCAACACAGAGCTGACAGGGAGAGTTCAGGTCACCCTCGGGGCTGGCTCTGAAGCCATCTCCACACAGGGCTTTGCCTCCCATCCAGCCTGACTGGTCACTTCTCAACCTGCCTCTGTGTGGATTCTGGGAAACTCAGGTCTAACCTTGCTTTCCTGCTCAGAACGCCCTGGAGCTCCGACACAAGGCTCTGGACATCTGGCCCCACCTGCCAGCCCTACTCATTTCCTGGTGCCCATCCCCGGGCCTTTGCTTGTCAGTCTCTACCCCACAAACATCCTCTCCCAACCCACCACCCCCCCACCCCCACCACCAGCAAGCGCTATGTGGAGCCTTCCTGGAACCCCACCAAGAGCCCGCCTACCACACCCCACATACACAAGCCCACACACTCCCGCATAGGCGGGGCCAGGACGCCAGCGATGCACCTTTTCTCCTGGCTCCCTCCACCCTCCTCCCTTCACCTCGATTCCCTCCTAAACCTCCTTCCCCATCTTCCTTGGTCTTCAGCCAGCCCACAGCCCAGCGTCTCTTTGCAGAGTAGCTCCTTCCTGACTGCCAGGCCCACGGTGCCCTTCCTCATCCCTGACCCCCTGACCGTGTTTTGATCCCCGAAGCCACTCCCACTTTTCAGATGTAGAAGCAGAGGCACATGGTTTGGAAATCAATCCAGAGGCAGGGCCTTATCCAAGGACATACAAGAATCAGAGGCAGGGCTGGGGCCCAGGAGGGAGTCCTGGCAGGCAGGCAGTGCTGGCCTGGGTAGACTAAGGTGAGCGAGCAGTCAGGCTGGAGTAGGGCTCCCTGGAGGTTAGTTCTGGAACACTAGCAGGGTTCAGCCTAAACTAGGGGTTCTTAGAGAATGGGGCACGGTTCTGTAGGCCACCCTCTCCTAGTCACCTGCCAAAAGCAGAGGGTCCTGGTCAGGGACAGTCTAGACCATTCTGGCCCGAGGTTTCTGGGCCTCTGACGTCTAGTTACCAGCAATGCCAAGGGCAAGCTTTGTTCAGGGGTCCTTGAGGAAGCCAGCTGAGGCAAGGCCAGGGGGAGCATCGGTCATCTGAAGGCCTAACCTTTGCAAATAAAAGAGCATTTAAAGATGAACAGGGCAGCTGGCGGGCTCTTCCCACCTTCCCCCTTCTGAGCTTCGGGGTGGGTCTGGAAGGGGCTTCTGACATCCCCAGGTCCGGAGCCTGTGGGCCTGGGCACATCTGTGCCAGCCCAGGTGGCCAAGACACCAGGCAAAGGTAGGTGCACACCAGCGTGGGAAGGCCACAGGGGCCACTTCCTGGGACCTGCCGGGCCTGTGAACTGGGCTCCCTGTGTTGACCCGAGAGGCTGGCTGGGAGAGGGAGGAGGTGCAGAGTCCTTGTCCCTTGCTTGCTTGCTCCCCCTAACTCCCCGTAAATGTGAAATGGAAGGAGGTGCTTGCCAGCCCCCCAGCCGGCCCCCTCCTGGGGTCCCCTCCGAGAAGCTCACCCACGCCATGGCTGTGAGTGTCTAACATAAGGGACGCTGTTTTTGCAGGTCTTGTGGGTTTTATTCCTTTGAACCATATCCAGCCCATCTGACATCACAATGCCATGCTTTATTGGTCCCCAGTACCTCGGCACCCACTGGCATTTGGAGAACTAGTTCCGTAGTTTTACAAGTTTCTAGCTGTCTGTGATAATGTATTCTGTTTCCAACTGTCAGTATGGGAATCTCTCCCCCAACCTTTCAATCTCTGGGTTTGAGTTTTTTAAATCATATTCGTTTTTGGTTTTTGTTTCTTCTTTTCGTTTTGTTTTTGTTTTTGCTTTTTAAAGTTGTTATTCCTTTTGGTTATGAAGCCCCTCCCAGTGGCTGCTTGTTTACGCATTGTTTGTGACTTCTTTTGACTGTCAGTGTTGAGCCAGTCTTGCCAAGAAACAATATCAAGTATTTCCTATTTCTCTACTTCTTGAAAAAAAAAATTTTTTTTAATTTAAAAAAAAAGAAAAAAATAGAAAAAAAAAAAAAAACTCTTAATGGGAACCTGGCCCTGTCTGTCTTCTCTGTTCTGCAGAAATGTTGAAGGAATTGAACCAGCAGCGCAGAGCGAAAGCCTTTACAGACCTGAAAATTGTTGTTGAAGGCAGAGAGTTTGAAGTCCACCAAAATGTTCTAGCTTCCTGCAGCTTGTATTTCAAGGACCTGATTCAAAGGTTTGCCTTCCTTCCAGCTGTGGTCGGGTCTGTTCCTTTGTAGGACGCTTTTGTGTCGCTTTTCTCCTCCCCTCTCTTGCAGGTTCCTGAAGCGTGACTCCCTGTCACAGAGCCAGTAGCCATCTCTCCTCCTCCTCCTCCCCGGTGTCCTCACACACAGCCTCAGAGCAGCCACTGCCCCAGCACTCCCCTCACATAGCCTTGCCATCACCAGGGGCCTCTGCCAACAGTGGACAAGCCCCCTGCTGTCCCCAGGATCCCACGTCCTCAGTGGCGCACAAGCCCTCCCTGAGATTAGGAGAACTGTAGACTCTATTGGAAGGGACCACCAGACACTGCCCCCGCTGGGCCAGCACAGGGTCCCCGGCACCATCGTAACTGCCCCGATGGTGAATTAAAACCAGGATAGCACATCGAGCAGACCATCCCCTGCTGGGGGGCACTAGGCGCCCAAGGGGCTGCTATTCCCCAGCCCACAAGAGATTCAGAGCCAAAGCCTCACCCACGCTGCATGTCTCTCTTGGTCCTCATACACGGAGCCTAAGCTGGCGTTGTCTGAGCACAGACCAGGTGTGTCCTAAACACGGTCTCTCTCAGCCTTTGCGCCCGCCCTCTGCCCTCTGCCCCAGCTATTTCCACCTGAATGACTCTTAATGGTGCATGAGCATCTTTTTTTATTTTCTCCATTATGTTGATTTTTAATTTGTCTGCTTCATACCCTTGCAAAGAAGTCAGGGGCCACCTCTAGCTCCTTAGTGAGGGAGAGCAGCGGGGCCAGCCCAGGGTAACGCTCACGTTTCTCTCACCCATCAGCAGATTAATGCCGCTGCTCGTTTGCCTTGCAGCCTCTCCGGGGCGGACGCGGAGCCAGGACTGTGCTCAGAGTGGGAAGACAGGACCTCTGCTTGCTTCCCAAAGCTGTGTTTGGACTTGCCAACTAACCCCGGAGTGACTGTGTTTTGTTTCAGGATGGCACACTGCCTGGCACCTCCTTTCTGATCCGCGTGTCCTTTCACATAGCCACGCTGCCCGGCGAGCCAGGCCAGCCCAGCCATGGGGGTCCTCAGCCACGCAGGAAGGGCAGGCCCTCTGTGCCCTCCCAGCTCATGACAACAAGGGTCTCCTGCCCCTGCTGCTTGGTGCTCTCTGTCCGAGCACAAGCATTAGGGGCATGAGGTCTGGGGTGAAGGGGCACGTCCGGCAGCTCCTTCAGGTCAGGGAGGTCTTTGTGCCACTCTTGGCAGATTCTAGAACCAGCAGTGCCTGGCCTCTGGCTGTCAGATTGCAGATGAGCACCCTGGGGCCCCGGGCCTTACTTCCCATAACCTGGAGCATACAGAAGGGGGTTCTGGGTGATGGTCCAGCCCTGGCAGGAAGGATGTGGGCAAGAGGAAGACAGGAGTTCTTAAGTCTTTGGGGAAGCACACCCTGAAAACCAAGTTCTCGCACATGAAGAGAGGAGGCTCTCATGAGGTGGGACCCAAAGCAGTGAAGGCCCTTGGACAGGCTGAGAAGAGAGAAGAACATTCTAGGAAGGAGTGCTGGGGGAAGAGGCAGGCATGAGCCAGGGAGGGGCAGAGTCGTGAGAGCCCGGCGGGCAGACCCTGACCCCACATAAGGACCCTGGACTTGGCCTGAGCTGGGTCCCTCGGGAACAGCAAGGAGAGGAGGCCACCTGACAGTGGGAAATAGTGGGCTATGCCCCAGTGACCCTACCCTGGAGGGGAGGGTGCTCTGCGGTCCCTGGAGAAGAGAGGGCACTCTGGAGAGCTAGGAGACCTGGGTCCTGCACTTGTTTCTGCCGTTGTCCTGGGGCCTCAGGACGGTCATGTCCTCTCTCAGGCCTGAGGGTCTCTCATCTGTGAAAAGGAGTTGGTTCAGATGATATCCAGGCCTCCTTCTCACTCTGACACCACAGGGTGACCTTTGCAATGGCCAGACCCTGCCGGAAGAGCTTTCCCAAGCATAAGCACCAGGACAGGAGAGGCCACCGGGAGGTCAGGAGAGCCAGGGGAGGATGACTAGTTGAACCCAGAGAGGCCTGAGGTCCAGGGAGACAGCACAAAGATGAGGTGGCTACGCCGAGTCCAGGCTTCTGTGGCCGAAGGTCACAAGGTTAGTCTGCAGCTGTTTTAAATTGTTCTTCCCGGTCCTGACACGGGGCACATGGGGCCATGGCTGCAGAGAACTGGAAACAGGTGCCTTGGAGGGGACGGGGCAGGCTCCCTGCAGGAACAGAACTTCCTCCCCAGCCATGTGAAGTGATGCACAGTTCTCATCCTTTGTGTCAAGAGCAGCTGACACTGTCACCATGTCCTCTCCATCCCCTTCACACTGGCCCTGGAGAGGGACCCTCTGACCCCAGGGGTCCAGAGCTCTTGTAAGGAGAGGGGCAGGGACAGTCTGTGGGACACACAGGGGCCGGCGCTGCTGAGGGCAGGTGACCCCTGCTGCTGCCCCATGTTTTCCCGGCCTGGAGGCTCAGATTGCACCCCCCAACCCAAGCCTAGGGCAGGTGGTCACGAAGCACCAGCACCAGCCCTAGAGCCGGACAAGAACAGTCCTGGCCCCAGGGCCACGTCCTCCCTGAAGCCACAGGTTAAGCCCCGCCATTCACTCACTCTCCACTTAGCAAACAAGCAAGAGCTTCCTGGGGTCAGATCTCACACAAAACCCTGGGCCCAGTCCAGGGTTGGAGGGACAAGTAGGAGCACAGGGCAGGGTGAGCATGAGGCTCACGGGCCAAGTGCTGGATTCCAAGGAGAGGCTTGGCAGGGAGGCTCCTCAGAAGAGGTGGCGTCTTCTGTGGGTTTTAAATGTAGGCTAGAAACTGGCCAGGCAGATGGGCAGGGAAGGGTGTGTACAAGATCATGGGGCAGCAAGAGGCTTCAGGACCGTGAGTAGCTCCACGTTCCTGCAGGGCCAGGGTGAGGGCGAGAACGGAGGGTGTGAGGCTGGGGTAGGAGCTCTCACCAGGCTTCGGTTTAAGCCTGAGGTGTCCTGGTCAGAGCTGCATCTCATGAAAATGACAAATCAGGAGCAAGAACGGCTGGGTCTCGCATCCTCTCCCTGCCTCAGCCCAATCCCCTTCAGCACAGCTGCCCCCCAGCTGTGCGGCCATGCTGACAGGTCAGGGCCAGGTCTTGCCCAGAGCCCGTCCTCTGGGTCCCTGCTGCAGGCCAAGCCCAGCCCGGCCCACACCCACACCTCTGGTGAGGCTCAGCACTTCTTTCCCATGTCCTTCGTCTTCCTCTGACAATGGCCAGGCCCTGCCAGAAGAGGTTCCCCAAGCATAAGCACCAGGACAGGAGAGGCCACCGGGAGGGCAGGAGAGCCAGGGGAGGATGACTAGTCGAACCCAGAGAGGCCTGAGGTCTAGGGAGATAGCTCCGTGTTCCTGCAGGGCCAGGGTAAGGGTGAGAACAGAGGGTGTGAGGCTCTGACCCCAGGGGTCCAGAGCTCTGGACCCAGCCCATGAGGAGACTCCCAGAGGTGTCATCGTGAGAAGCAGGGGCTGTCAATCTCCCCGTTTCACAGATGACCAGCTGAGGCCCAGAGACGTTTAATAACCAGACCTGGGCTTTGAACTGAGGTCTGACCCAAGCTCATGCTCTTACCATCTTCTTGCTAAACCAGAGAAGAGTAAAAATGTAGTTTCAATCACACGCAAAGTCTGAGTAGAAAAGTAAAGTCCTGGGACTGACTGTGGACAGGAGTACAGATAAAAGGGATGAAGACTGTGTGTGTGTGTGTGTGCGTGTGTGTGTGTGAGTGGACATGTTAGAAACACCAGGAAACTGGCCACTGGGCCTGCTTAAGGAAAACAGAATCCCCCTAGAAACAGATCCCTAAATATGAGGCACTCACCTGATACCTGCAATGGAGCTGGGCCATCTGAGGTGAAGGAAGGAGGCCTTGGAGAAGTTCTCAGACTCTGCTGAGAACATTAGACCTCACCAGTCAGTTCTCTGCTACCCTATCTGAGTCTCTGAGACAACCAGGGGTGAAAACCTTGCAGGAAAAGGAGCTGAGCTCTGTCTTTAGGCAGTGAGAAGGGTAGTGCTATTTAACAACCATCCCTCACTACACCCAGGCTGGGGGTGAGCCCAGCAGGCACACTCAGTTGGAGCCTCCTAAGTCCAAAGTAATTTCTCAACCCCATGAGCAGATGTAGCTCTACCCTGGGCTTCCCTTTTTGGCCTATGAAGTCTCTTCCTTTATCCTCTGAGAACTGGGATCTTTCAGGGATGGCCAGGTGACAGAGGGGACATTGGCTGCAATGCCAGCTACTCCTAGCCTCATGGGCTACAGGCTCCATTCTTCTGTAGAGGTAGCAGAGGCACCCCACTTCCCCACCCCACAATCCCTGCACCCTTAAGCTGTGCAGGCACACCTGATCCCTAGGATCCCCTCTCCTTGGCTCAGGCTGGGTGAGATGGCAGTGCCCCTCATGCTGGTCCAATCACACCCATCATTTGGGGCCATGAGCTGTTCATCTGCCCAGCATCCTCCCACTGGGTGACCCTACAGTTCTCAGGGTCTGCCAGGTCACATGTGTCTTAGTGTCTGTGTGTATCCCAAGATCACACCTTTATTCTTCACTGAGTTGAGCTTCCCTGCTTGAGGGCTCATGGGTAGACAGACAGGGGACAGCATTGACTGGGGCCTTGGGAGATGGGGGCCCAGGTCACCCCCCACAGAGCACAGAGGGGTGAGGAGGGAAGGCCAGACAGTGTTATTAGGTTTGTAGGCAGAGTCAGCCAAGACCTGGAGCTGGAGGTTGACCAGATGGCCTCTGAGGTTCTGGGTTTCTATGATTTGAAGCAATCATATGATGGATTATTTTTATACTTAACAAAACTATGCAGGCATGGATCTCTATCCTGACAGCAGAAGGCTAGGTGTGCTCAGTCGCCTCAGGAGTCTCCGAGGCCCGTGTGGGCTTGGAGGGGCTTCTGCCCAGATCCTCTACATAGCCCACTGCTCATCTTGTGGCTGTCTGGGCTTGCCCAGGGCTTGGAGGCAGAAGGCCCCTGGGGGTCCCTGGTGGGATGAGCTGCTCTGTGGGGAAGACCCAGCACGGCACCACCAGGAGGGAGCCCTGACACTGCTCAGGCACAGGGTTACAGTGGAACCTGCTCTACCCGGTCGCGCTGTGCTTGAAAGGCTCTGGGAGGCCAGGGCCTCACCTGGGTGGACACGCTACAATGGCATGTCAGGGACTGTCCTGTAGAGAGACCGGCGAGGGCATCTCCCAGCCTCTGACATATAAAATCTCCACGAGACCTTAGACCTCATCTAGTTCATTCCTCTTGCTTTGCAGAAGAGGAGGCTGAGGGCCTGAGAGGCCAAGGCTGCCCTCCTGTCTGTGGCAGAGCTGGGGCACCAGGTCCCCTGGCACCCTGCCCGATGTTCTTTCCTGCTCCCCACCCACACAGCCGCCGGCCTCTCTGCGGCTGCCTGCTCGCCTGCTGGATCCCTCTATACCCCCTACCAGCCACAGGTGCACCCAAGGGACCAATCACGAGAGTCTTGACCCCTGGCTTCCTTGGAAGTGAGCGAGTGGCTGCAGAGGTCACTTCCCAGCCACGTGGCTGAGCCCAGCCAGCAGGACCAGGCTCGATGCGGGAAGCAGGGCCAGTCAGATCGGCCAGACGGGGCGGCCAAGCTGGTGGCCTCCGAGAAGCCTCCTGCCTCTTAACGCTCTGGGTGTCTTTCCTCCTGGCGTCACTTCTGTATCGGTGTTATTCTGGCTTCATCTTATCTGTTTCCTTCCAGGTGCAGCTTTAGGGTGCAGCTGCCAGGCCATAGGAGCCTTTGCAATGGTTTCGTATTTCTGTAGACACCAGATATAAACATATTTATATATTTGTGTCCCTCCCCTGCTCCCCCCAGTTCACAAGCCCGATGCACACTCTACACGCAGGCCACTCTGACCTCTGACCCCGTGTTCCATGTGGCAGGAGGGCCCCGCCCCGGGCCAGGTCCCAGGTCATGGCTGCTGGCTGTCTGTGGCGGAAGTCCTTGGTTGTTGCCCTCTCCCCCCTCCCAGCTCTGACCATTCTGTCCGTCTATCTTGTCTCGTCCTCAGTTTTAAAGCAATGTCATGAAGGGCTTCCTTCCATGCCTAAAAGGAAACAATATGTTCTGGGAAGAGGTGGGTGGGAGGGGGGACTCTGGGCAGCTTGCGGCCCTTGGTCTCTGGGGTGATCAGAGGACGTCTCTGGACTGGCTGGACTTCCAGCCATGGGGGAGCCCTGAGCCCCTGTGTCCTCCGAGTGGCTGGGGCAGCTGCGTTCTGGGGTGGACAGGCCCAGCTGGGACCTGTGGTCAGGTCTAGTGGAGACGCCACCGGGGCCAGCAGCAGGCTGAAGCGTATTGTTTCCCTTTGAGGCCAGTCCTGGTCCTCGTCCCCATCCACAGCTCATGCTTTTTGATTTGCATCTTTTTTTGCATGGACATGCCGAGTAGTGATAAGCAGGGTTTTCTGTTCTTTTGGGCGTCTCTGGTCAGACTCTTCTCTTTCAGATCCCGTGTCAGGTCATTAGGTTCAGGTGTGTCATTGCTGTGTCCTCTGAGTCCTAAAACGAAGGGCCTGGCCGAGGTGTGCAGGGAGTTCTAGCCCTGTGAGGCAGCGGCGAGTGGCCGCAGGGCTGGCAGGTGAGGACAGCCTGGTCTCTGTGCCTAGGTCCGTGCAGGACGGCAGCCAGGGCGGCCGGGAGAAGCTGGAGCTCGTGCTGTCGAATCTGCAGGCCGACGTCCTAGAGCTGCTGCTGGAGTTCGTCTACACGGGCTCCTTGGTCATCGACTCGGCCAACGCCAAGACTCTGCTGGAGGCGGCCAGCAAGTTCCAGTTCCACACCTTCTGCAAAGTCTGCGTGTCCTTCCTTGGTGAGCCCAGGGGGCTCTGTGTCACTTGGGGTGGGGGGGCGAGTGCCAATGTGTGAAAGTAGAGTGTAAGGGGGAGGTGCGGTGAGGCACACCCCAGGTGCCCTAGGATGTGGCCAGACTAGGCTAAGTGCCCTCGAGTGACAGTTGGGATAATCACACGCAAAGGTCTTCTCTTACCGGTGTGGAGGGAGGGAGGCCTCTGTGTCACTTCCCTGTAGGTGGGGGGGGGGGCGCTGTACCCCACACAGGCCTCACGAATGGGGCTGGAAGGGCTGTGGGAACGCAGACCCGCTGCCTGGGATGGGAGCTGAGCACCACGGTCGGCTATAGTTGGGTGCTGGCTGGGAGGGAGCAGAGAGCGAGAGCGACAAAGATGAGAGCTCCAGAAAGCTAGGGAGGAGCCCAGAGGTGGGGGAGGTGGTGCCAGGACTGCTGGGGGGTGTGGGGTACTGTGCAGTCCAAAAAGGTCAGAAGCAGGCCTGTCGAGCTAGGCGCTCAAACAAGGGGCCTCTTGGGACCCAGACACGTCTAGGCTGGAAGGGCCATTGACTGGACCTCAGGAAATCTGTCCAGGCTGACCCTAGGTTCCAGAGGGGCAGACTGGGTGAGGCTGTGGCATGGGAGAGGGTCGGGGTGAAGGGTATTTCTACTCACAAGACCTAAAGAAAGAGCCAATAGCCTCAGGCACATCCGTCACCACCTTGGAAAACACCCTAAGCCTCAATGTGACCCCTGCCCCCAGCCCAGGCCCAGGCTTTGAAAGCCAGGCCTCCTCCTTGCATAGGCAGTGAGGAAGCCCCCAGCCCAGCTGTCACTCAGTCTGCCCTTCTCCGGGACCTGCAGCAGCCAAGGGAGCAGGAGAGGGGAGGGGAGACCTGGGAAATGGGCCTAAGGCTCCAGGTCACAGAGTGTGGGCTCAGGGAGAGGACCAGGACGACCTCTTCCAGTGCCTTCAATCAGTGGTCCTGCACTATCTCCCCCAGAGAAGCAGCTGACCGCCAGCAACTGCCTGGGGGTGCTGGCCATGGCCGAGGCCATGCAGTGCAGCGAGCTCTACCACATGGCCAAGGCCTTCGCGCTGCAGATCTTCCCCGAGGTGGCGGCCCAGGAGGAGATCCTCAGCATCTCCAAGGACGACTTCATCGCCTACGTCTCCAATGACAGCCTCAACACCAAGGCCGAGGAGCTGGTGTACGAGACGGTCATCAAGTGGATCAAGAAGGACCCCACCGCGCGTGCACAGGTAGGGCCCACCCACACCGTCTCTCTGGGTCTGAGGGTGCCATGCAGGGACAGATCTGCAGCAAGGATAAAGGAAGGTGAAGGGGCAAGGCCACCCGTCTGACCAAGAGGCGAGCCTATGGGATCTAGCAGGCCGGGGAGATGGAGGCCGGTCCTGCTCCCCTGGGCAGCAGAGAGGTGTGTGTGTGGGGGGGGGGCTTGGAGACCAAGCATCAGTCACCAGAGTATTTTCAAGGCCTGGCATTGCACCCTGAAGGACTCAAGCCGACTGAGAGGCACAGGGTCTGGCAATGCCTAAGCCAGGATGCTAGGGGCTCCCAGGAGCTCAGACCAGCAGCAGCAGCTCCAGCCATGCCCTGGTGATCAAGGGTAGGGAGCACCTGGATGGGCCACATGGCAACGGGACACTGCTGCACACAGGACAGTGGAAAGCGAGTTTCTCTGAGAGGACAGTGAGGGCACAGAGTCAGGAAGGGAGGAAAGGAAGGCAGTGTCCCTGGACTGTCACCACGTCCTAGGGAACCATTGGCCCCCCATGCCCCAGTGGGGCCCCCTGACCTCCTGACTGGCTGCAGGCCCCACGGAGCAGGGAACTGCTGCTCTCCTGTGTGAGGAAGCAGCGTGGCTGCCTGGACAGCTCTCAGGAGAGTGCGGAACCTCCCAGAGGATGGCAGATGGGGACAATGGCCCAGAAGTAATGACCCAACCAGGAAGGACAGGGTCAGCAAAGCCAGTTCCCAGAGTGAGCGGAGGGGGCAGCAGAGGGCAGAGGAGAGAGCTGTCATGTCTCTCACTGGGAGCCAAAAGAGGAACAAGCAAGAGGGGGAGGTGGCAATGCAGGGGTAAAATCTAACACTCTGCAAAGCAGACCCACAAGGAAGGGTTCTGGGCTCATGACCCGAGACCTCCCTGAGTGCAGGGGCTGCACGTGCTCATGGTCCAAGGCTGGATCCAAGGCTAAAGTTGGAGGTGAATGGGGGTACCAAGTCCCTGTTAGGGGTCCTTTCTCTTGCTCCTTCCTCTCCCTCTCCATCTCTCTTACTTGTGGAATAAATAAACTTTAAAAAAGAAAGAGGGCTGGCCCCATTGCCTAGTGGTTAAGGGAGCCAGATCCCACATGACCAGCCATGGTTTGAATCCCAGCCCCCCCCCCAGTGGCATGAAAAACAGCAGATGCACGTGCATGTGTGTCCAAAACCCTGACAGCATGGAGGAGTGGAGAAGGGACTGCAGCATGACCACACTCGGGGGGTGCTTTCTTTCCCTCTCTGGAAAGCACATGTGCCCTCTGGCAATTAAAGTAAAATAAAAGGGAGGGGTGGGAATGGAGGGAAGGGCCCGGTGCTAGAATCAGCAGCACCAGGTGGGTGTAAGAGGCAGAGGTGGTTCTCCACCCTGACCCAGCTACTGAGCTCAGGAGAAGGGTCCTTGTCCTGATGAGGTTGGGGAGGGCAAGATTTATTTTCAGAGGAAGACAGCAAGGGGAGGCAGCTGATGACAGTGGCTGGCCCAATCCACTGCAGCTCCCAGCCCTGTGTCTCCAGCCCAGGACCGTCACCCACCGTCCAGGCCTCTGTCTTCCGTAGCCTGCTGACATTCCCAGCAGGATGTACCCACACTGTCAGATCCGTCGAATAATTCCACAGAACTCCAACGCCAACATTTCCGCCCGTGTTCCTTATTTCATCCTGCCTGTCACCTGAGGCCAAACCTAGAGTCCCCCACCCCTTCCACAACACAGGCCACACAGTGCTCTCTGCCTCCCTTCTTCTCTCCAAAGCAGATGGACTTCCTGTCTCCCCACAAGACTTCCACAATATCACCCAGTAGTTGCAATAATGTCTCGAAGGATTTCTTTGCCTTTGGGCTCATTGCCTCCAGATTCATCCATCCATTCATCCATCCATCCTCCGGCCTGAGTGGTCTTTCTAAAGAGCAGATGCGATCATGTCATTTCTCTGTTTACAACCTCTCGTTAATTCCTCTATCAGTTCTGCAGGAAAAATGACACCGTCCTTGGCAAACGTAGCAAATAGTCAGGCCTGGCCTCAGAGAACCTCCCTAGTTCCATTCCTCCCTGTCCACAGCCAAGAAGAAAAAGGCCCACAGAGTCCTGGAGGCACCGCTCTCTTGCACTCAGGATGTCTCTGCACAAGCTTTGAGCGTCCACCCTGCTCTCCACCTTGGGCCTGGCAGAAGCCTGCCACCCCGCATGCCCATCTCACCTGTGTGTGCAGTGTGGCCTCTCACCCCGGCAGCCACCACGGCTCCTACCTGGACTCCTCCTCTAGCCCCTCGTGCCTTCCATGTAACAGAGCCCCCCACTAAACTGAGCTCAGGGCTGAGCCTCCCTGGTCCTTGCACCCCAACAACGAGCTTCACATGGCGCACAGGGGTCACCAACATTCTCTGGGTGAAATGAAGGTGGAGCGATGAGCAGGCCTTCCTGGGGAGAAGGTCTCTGGTGAGAGAATGAAAGAGAATGGAGTGAAAGAGAAGGGTGCCTTCAGGACTCCTATGGGCCTTTTTCTTGTTGGATGCAGACAGGGAGGACTGGGACTAGACAGGTTCTCTGAGGCCAGACCCACTGTTTGCTACATCTGCCAAGGGCTGTGTCGTTTTTCCTGTGGAGCTGATGGAGGAATTAATGAGGGTGGGTTTTTTTGTTTGTTTGTTTGTTTTTAGAGGCTTTCGCTATAGGGCGCGTGTGCTCACCAGACAGACAGAGAGAGACAGAGAGACAGAAAGTGAGAAATCACCCCCCAGGACAGATGGTCACGCTGCAATCCCTTCTCCTCCATTCTCCTCTCGGGA